ACAATTACGAGACTGTGTGTGCCCCCTGTTGGAGCAAAAGGGTAAGGAAAGGAAAATGACTTGTAAAGGGAAGGAAGGCAACCGCTCGCTTGGGCATTTCCTCTTGGAAACTTAAGAAGTTTGGTCCACAGAAAGCTAGGAGCCTGCTGGAAACCCAGCAGGCTGCTACCGTCTGCTCCCAGGATGGAAGACGACTAAGGTGGAAAACAATTCTCATCACTGTGGGAGGAGAACAGCTGTCCACTCCTTTACCTGGCCTGGCGGAGTACAGACGACTTGACAGTTTAGAGGACTTAATGTGATCAACTGCCATTAGCATTTCATGTTGGTAGCCAGACAGGAGAGAAAAAAGAGGGCAGGGGAGGAGAGGGAGGAGAGGAGGGAGGGGTGTGGGAGGGGAAGAAAGACTAGAAACATTTTATTCTCTGTTTTAGTCTTAAATGTGAAGGGGGGAAACACACCAAAAAAAGGAGATGAATGAAGGAAACATGCAAGACTTGAACATTCATCCTTTCTTTAGAAATCATCTCAAACATTTATACATGTGTATTTAAAGAATACTTAAAATATTTTAAACAATACAAAAATATTTTATGTAAAATGGCAATAAAAAATAATATCGAAGTAAATAATTAGCTCTCAAGAACTAAAGTAAACTAAGAAAGTAGAAGATTTTGTCAAATAATATATAATGGCTTGGAACTTTTTCTCGGATACTCAAAAATTATTTTTCATTTGTACAAAGAAAAATGCATTAAAAACAAAATGTACTTTGAAAAAAGTCAAATTTGAAATAAATACCTAGAGGAATAATAATTTTAAAAAATAACTGCATAGTACTATAAGTGAACAGAATTATCATAATTTTCTAGAGGGGGGAAACACTGATTGGCTTAGAAGCATGAAGTTAATAACTTACCCAATATTTTTCCTCTTTAACATATACAATTTTAAAATAATGTTGCTACATGGAAAAAACTGGAGAGAAAGAAAATCTATGGAATAATGTATACACAACTGTTCAGAAACTCTAAAATCCTTTTTTTGGAAGAGGTATAAATTGTTTCAATTTGAATACCTGCTGAATCAGGATGGAAGTAAAGATGTATCTTAAGGAAATCTTAAATTTATTAGGAAATAGTGAATAAATCTATTTCCTTAACAGCTAAAGTTTGGGTTAGTAACAAAGTTGGTAACAAAACAAAAATAAGCAAATATCTTTCCCTCACGTCAATTCTCTAACTTCCTCTGTTTGCAGAATATTACCGAAAACACAGCATTTCCTTTGCCAGCATTGTAAATGAGGCTGTGTCACGCTTGTGTCCCGAACTTCTCTACTCTGAGTCTCATGGAAAATGAAAACAGTTTGCTAGATCATGAATTTTTGAGGGCTTAGATATTTTAAAACACCTTTCGAGTTAAGGATTGCGGATGAGACATTTCCCCAAAATAAAGGAAACTACCAACTGAGTTTGGGGATGCAGATCATGTGAGATTTCATGAGATTAAGAACAAATTTTGGGAGAGCTTAACATTTCAGGGTGACCAGAGAGACACCCTTGCTCGAACCGCCCTTGAACATGAACAAGGAGATAATAAATAATTATAATGCTAGGGTCCTTAGGACCAATTTCTTGTCACAAGGCACCTTTCAGCCCAAATCTCCCCTTCTGGTATCAACGGTCTTCTAGTTCTAATCATCATAACACCCTCTTGGAAATGAGAGAAGTGTTTCTAATTTTAAAATTAACTAAAAGCAGATGCTATAGTCCCATAAAACTCTTCCAGCTGCTACTGAACCACTGGCAACCTGAGTCTATTTAATTTGGAGACCTCTAATGGCAAAAAGGAAAATCTGACTGCCAAATTTGCACACCCAAGTTAAACCAGAGAGGCAGAAAATAAAAACAGCTCATGAAAGTGAATGTATTCTAATAAGGCTCTCCAACTGATGATGGGCAATTTTTCCCTGTGCTTAACAGCTAAAAAAAGGTGGTTGCTTATAAAACCCTTAATTCAAAGAAAGCCAAACAAGCAAGCCTATCTGTAACATCTCCGTTGATTTTATTCATTTATTTTTAGGAAGGTCTCTGCTTCCTAAAAATGAGTCTTTGCTACAATGCTGTAAGATTCAGAAAGCTTTAAATGCACTGACAGTATACCTGAGGGCATTGTTAATATTGATTAATTAAAGTGAGATATCAAATTAATTAATATGTAGTAAGGTCATAATGGCATAGAGGCCCTCAAGCCTGACGAGTTATCATCACTCCTCAAAAGGCAGTCTGTTTTGGGGTGAGGAGAAAAGTGGGATGTCTTACAGGTGGCACTGAAGTGACAGCAGCGTGTAATACAAAAGCGCTTTGTCATTCACATAATGTCTGGGGTAATAAAATGAATTCACTTTCTGGCTTCCTCTAGTCTGTGATGCCAAAGAACACTGTGTTATCAGCACAGATGGGACATGCATGGTTCTGGAGAAGAGCCTGGTGCAAACTACAAACAAGTCCTGTGAATACCAATGCATCCCTAAGAACCAGACCCGTGCTGTCAAATGAGAGCTTTGGAAGCTCCAGAAAAATGAGCGAGTCCCAGGGGTCTTGTCCAATCAAATGTCAAGACCCTGAACAGCCCATGTGGAAGCCATGCAAACCACAGAGGCCTAGCTGCTACTTTCCTATGAGAAGGAAGCAGAAGACAACATTCGCTCATGAACTGTGGTTTTTTTTCTTCCATTTTTTAGGAAGTCAAGAGGAAGTGGATGACCTGTGCTGATGCAAGCACTAATCTACTTCTCTAAGTCACCTGGGAGAAAACTAATCTAGGCAGAAGAAAAGAAGGGATTCACAAGTATGCTGTATGTTACTATGAAATATTAACTTGAGATGTCAATGAACATAAACAAATAATGCATGGAAAATGATTAGAAAAGAAGCATACCCATCAACATACTGAGAAGTCTCTGGACCTTTGAACTCACCCCTACAACTCTGTACAATCCTTGGTCATTTATACCTATTGAAAGAGACAAAATGTTAGCAAAATACAAGACTATCATGTTTGAAAAGCTGTCAACAAACAGTTGAATTCATACTCTGCTAACTCACAT